TATATATATATATATATATATAAAAACTTGGTTAGATTTATTCTTCATTGCTGATGCTGTGATTGCCTGATTTTATTTCCTTTGGACTAACGATGTGTATATAAAATTTTCTCTTGATTTTCATACAGTTTAGGAAAACCATACTTCAGGGCTGTAACGTAAAACAAATTGTCTCTTGTTTTCAGCCCTTACTGGCGTCATGATTTCTTCTCACTACACACAAGGCGTCATCCTCCCAGAGGTGATTTCAGTTTCAAGTTTCACTTAGTGCTCTTTGGTATTGTTACAGGAAGAATGATCATCGTCATAGTGAGGCAAAAGTTCTAAGTTGGCCTCTGCTGATGTTTAATTTTCTTTGAAAATCTGATCTTTAGGAGTTGCTTGTGAAAACACCTCTTTCCTTTATCATTCTTTTGTGAGGAGAGGAACCCCTACTATTACTCATAAGAAAGTCCTGGGATTATATTACCTTTACCATGCTATCATTATGCATTTCAGAAATGAATTTTCTTATTTTTTTTGAGGAGGATGTAAATTTTAACCTGAAATATCTTCTTCCTTCTCCAACTTTCCAGTTTTTGTAGGTTATAGGCTATGAGTCATTATGATGTTAAGCCATTAAATTTAAGAAGGAGGTAAGGTAGTGATAAAGTGACAAATAAAGGTATTCAGCCATGCATATGTAACCATTTTAAAGACAAATAAATCATAGAACTATACAGAAAAAGTTTCATTATAATATATATTCAAGAACTATTTTTTGATGTCACACCCCAGGGCTATAATAGCCTGTCTGCTTTCCAGAGGTTTAAAAATAGTCTCTTGATCCTTGCTTTTTACAATGTAATATGCTATCTGAAAGATCATCATTCACTTTTTAAGTAAAATGTAGAAACAAATATTTTTCACTTCTGATTATACCCTGCCTAGTACACTACATCTATGGCTACCAATAAAACAAAAAGTATGCCATGTGTACACTACAGCCAACATTTATTGAATCCCTACTGTGTGCCTAGCATTGTACAAATGCTTTCACTTGCATCATCTCTTTGACTCCACCCTATAAGATAGAGTTAGATAGTTACAGTTACTCCTGGTTTTTTTTTTTTCAGATAAAAGATCTGAGCTTCAGAATTGTAAATCAATGACATGTCCAGGTTCATACAGCTAATGAGGGGCAGGGCAGAGATTCCATTTTAAAGTCTTCTGACACAATGTCCTATGCTTAGCTAATGCTGGTGTCCTAAAGGAGATCCTATTCCAAGCAATTGATTTTACAGATAAAGAAATGAGGCCCAGAGAAAGTGAGGAATTGCCTGAAATTCCACCGTTAGTTATTCTTTTCTTTCTGAAGTAGTATGCTGTCTCCATTCGCGTCCAAATGTTTGTAGAGTAAAAGTAGAACTACCCCCTCATATGTACTCACTGTCTCATACTGTCTCCCTGGTGAGTCCCTCACTTCCACTAAATGCTGAGGATTTCTACTCCTAATCCACCCACCCCCACAGCCCACTTCTTCCCCAAGGTTCCGATTTATCTCTAGTTTTTCCTGAATATCTCCACCCAGAGATGAAGATGTCTCAGAGAGAAAAACTTGAAATGTGGTCTATAAAAAATTGAAATCGTTGATATCCTCCATAAATTTGCTGATTCCTATAAAATGCTGCAATTTCCTAAGGATTTCCTTCTTAAAGTAATTATCTTGCCTTTCTCTCAGCTCTGAGTATTATCTCCATTGCTTCCTTGAATTTAGCGTTTATATGCTTTTGCCTTGAGCCTCTCCTGAGTTCAGGATCTATTTTTCTGAGATATTTACTTGATGTATCTCTCTAGGTGTCCTACATATTTCTGAAATACAACAAGTTCTGTTTAAAACCATACACTTCTAGCCGTCCCAGTTGTATGTTCTTTTTGCATTATTGATTCTGATTGATGATTTTTACCATTTACTCAGGCTTGAAACTAGAATCTGTGTGTCATTCTTTACTCTTCCTTCAATCTTATCCTCCATATTTAATTATTACAGTTTAACAAATTTACCTCTGAAATGCTTCTCAAATTTGGCTTCTGTCTTCTTTCTTATTGTTACTACCTTAATCAAGGCCTACCATCTACAACTAATGTCTTTATACTCTAGTTTAGTCCCATTTAACAGGAAGTAGAAGCATTTATTGAGTTTCTGTAATCTGCTAGGTACTGTGGTATGGTGCCAGGGGGAAGGAGACAAAAAACCCAGCCCTAAATTTGGATGGCTTGTGTTATAATAGGCAAATTTCCATGACTTTTCCATTTTGTTTTTATTTATTTGCCTTTATTTCTGTCCTTTCCATGTTTCCTTCATTCTCTCTCTCTTTTTTTTATCTTTATGATACGATTCAATGCAAGTAATTAAAGTTTGTTGACTCTTTTAACCATAGCTATTCATATATAAGGAGCATTGGTGGTGCAGCGGTTAAGAGCTTGGATGATAACCAAAAGGTTGGCAGTTCAAATCCACCAACTGCTCCTTGGAAACCCTATGGGGCAGTTCTGCTCTGTCCTATAGGGTTGCTATGAGTTGGAATCGACTCAACAGCAATGAGTTTTTTTTTTTTTTATGCGTTCAAATCTAGTGATCTTGTTTATTGATGAAACTTCTTGAAATCTCATTCTCAAATTGTCACACATGAAGAAGATGTAACATATCGGTATCGTTGTGAGCATTTTTGAGCTATTTAAAAATACCATACTAGTTTTTTTTTGGTAGTTGAAATGAGGTTTTAGAAAAGCATAGGAAGCCTGAAGGTAAATTAAATGATTGTAAAATATGACACTAGCTGGTATTTTCAAAAGCATTGTAGTTTGGTAGAATACATGTTAAATTCTGATACGTCCAATAAACACATATAAAGTAAACTTCCTCTTCAAAGAATGTTTTAAAACAAAATTATCGCCTTAAAATTCTTGAAGTATTTTAAAGGAAATTTTTAGCGTGCTAAAAGCTTTCTATATTTTTTATGATAGTGATTGTCAGATTTAATGCAGTGCTTTTCTGTTGCTGATAGGTACACACTGGTGGATATTTTGCGTGCCATCTTACTTTCTTTAGAGGCCATGATTGAAGATCCTGAGCTTCAAGTGAATGGATTTGTTTTGATCATAGACTGGAGTAACTTCACCTTCAAGCAAGCTTCTAAACTTACACCAAGCATGCTGCGGTTAGCTATTGAAGGCCTTCAGGTAAAGATTTACATGTGACTCAGTTTTTTGGTTTCCCATGTCCCTTATCGAGTGGTTTAATTAACTTCTCTTGTCTCATCTGTTAGAATAATAAAATGAGATTTTACAGAATAATAAAAATAATTTTTTAAATAATTTTCAAGCACAAACATTACAACACTGAACAAGGGATCATAGCAGAAAAGCTGAAGAACGTGGGTCTTTTAACAGTTAGATGACAGTAGGTGGTGCTTGACACATCCATGCTTCTTGCCATGTCTAACAAAAATACAAGTGACAAACTGAGATTTTTATTTTGATAATCAGAACAAGCTACATTTCTGGATTTTAGTTACTAAGCAATTTAAGGTTTGGTTTTTGCTGGTTTTTCTTTCCTGTTTCTGCGTATATTTGTTAAGTGGCTAAATATTTGCTTTGTTATTCCATTTAACATGGTAAATTTGCAATATGATCAGCAATGTCTTCATGTTGACTAAAAAACTGTTGGAAAGTTATTCAATATGTTTTTTGGTCTTTATAATACAAAATCACTGCTTTGAATTATTTTTTTGGACTTAATTGGGATTTATATTTTTCATTTTTGGAGTGGGAGTCAGTCACATGCAGTGTATATAGAAATAGCACATCTTCCAGTGAAAGATAATTCTTTAACTGATTTGGAATTATAAAATGGAAAAATAATTATTACTTGGTGGCATTTCATGAATCTGCTATTGCTATTTTCTTTTTCACTTTTAAAATGTCTTTGTTTGCTCTCTGGTTTGCTTCATACTTTGTATATAATTTTCATGGAATAGATTTTAAACTTTTAAAAGTGATTTGCAAGTTACCACTTGAGTAATATTATTCATTATTTATTTTTGGTATTTTCCAGATGTATTTTAGAAGTTTGCAAGTCAATAGTTAATTTTTCCTAACTTTTACCACTGAAAATATCACTTGTTTTCAAATCACCAGTTATTTTTTTGTCATTTATTATACCCGGATGTTAGACATTTTGTTTATGTTGAATAAATCAAAATTATCCAGATCCCTGCTCCATAGTAATTTCTGACTATGTCTGTAAAACCCATAACCCGCTGCCATTGAGTCGATTCCGACTCATAGCGATCCTGTAGGACAGAGTAGACCTGCCCTGTAGAGTTTCCAAGGAGTGGCTGGTGTATTTGAACTGCTGACCTTTGGTTAGCAGCCAAACACTTAATCACTGTGCCACCAGGCGTCTAAATTGATGACTGAAAAAGGGCCACTTCTGCAAGTGGCAGGACATCTTAACCAAACTAAATTCACAGTTTGATTGCTGTCTCTGGAGTTGGTATGACACACTGATCCTTTTTCTCTGGATAGGTTTTTTTCCCGAAGCAAGTTTCTTGATTTGCTCTTGGTGTCAGGCTTGCTCTTGTCATATCTTTAACAACACCTTTTTTAACTCCACAGAGAATGTTGAAAAGGGTTACAAGAGGACATAAGACAAGGTTTGTTTAGAGGTACCTTATATCATGTAGAATCAGGATTAATTTTGCCCTATTGCCAGGGACGTGTAAAGTCTTCTTCAGTTTGTAAAGAAAATTGGTTACCAGTGACCATGCTACTTAACAGAATGATAACCTAGCCTGTAATAATTTTTTCCCCTATTTAACTCGTGTTCTCTGTTTGCACTAGGGGTAGGCTAGGCCTTCAGTGGGATGAAGGACTCGTGTTGTTAGTTTCCGTTGAGTAGATTCCGAGTCATGGCGATCACATGTGTGCAGAGTAGAACTGCTCCATAGGATTTTCAAGGTTGTGACCTTTTGGAAGCAGATCTCCAGGCTTGTCTTGCCATCTCTGTGTGGGTTCTAACCACCAACCTTTCAGCTAGTAGTCAGTGCTTAACCATTTGCGCCACCAGAGAATCCTGCATGAAGGACTAGAGAAGTCATATTATTCCCCAAGCAATTTTAAAAACTGCCTCAAGGATAGATTCAGTATTATCTGCCAACTTACATACTTTACTGAGTCATTTAACAGTAGGATGATAAGTCATTGTAGGGGGACAAATTGACAACTTGGACGTGTTTGAGAGCTTCCCCATTAGCCACAGCCACAATCAGGACACCTTCTTTAAGTGCTAAGTGTGAGCATAGTGGAAGCTACAGTCAGGTTAAACCTCAGTGCTTGTGCCTGGAGAGAGAGGTGACCTCCCATCCCCCCATGGACCTGCACTGGCTACTTGACTGCCTTATCTCTACTCCCCAGAAATATCTCGGTCCCCTTCTCTTTTCTCCCAGGACACAGACTGAGTAAACAGGGTTGATTCCTCTTACTTGGCAATTGTAAAGCCACTTAAAAAAGTGAGCTCTCCCTAAGAATAATTTCCACATGTTATTAACTTTTAAATCCACATTTTCTCCAGTTCAAACTGATTTTTTATACTATGTGTGTGTGTGTGTGTATAGCATAAAAAATCAATGTCTGTGTTTATATTTATAAATTGAAAACCACTGGTAAATTTAAATAGGAATATAAGATGCACTACAGATGTTTAATTGTGAGATGTATATTTCATACTTAGTCTCTTGTTGAAGTAACATTTTCGGACTTTTCTAATCAAGTCCTGGTTTTACTTTGCATTTACTATATGAGGTCTATTATTGTGCATTGCTATATATTTTGTTCAGAACATGAGTAAACATTTTTCAAGACTTCAAGATTTTTCAAGACCATAAAATGTTTGCAGTAAGGATACATACACAATTGTAGGTTGCTAAACTATCACAATTACTAATACCGCCACCACCACCACAACGGTAAATGCCTTCTGATTAACTCAGGAAAATTAAGAGATGGGAATATTGCAATAGTTCTGTGCTAATTTATATCAAACTACAATTCTGCTAAGTTGATTTTATTAAGGCAAATGCGAAAAAAATAAGGAAGGCAATGAGTTGCTCTGGTGCCAGGGAGAAAACTTATTTTACTGACACATATTATGAATGGGATGTGACTGTTTTGAGAAGGCCTCATCTTTCTTCATCTTGAGGTGGCTGTATACCCTGTTTATCCACACACACCAATCCCCCTTTTTCTTGAGCAAAAGAGTGTTTTGAGTGACCGGGCTAGAGATAGCACCTGATACTTTGGGTAAAGATGCATGGACTATTGGTATGATGTTCACACTTGTTTACAGTACAGGGTCAGTTGAGGGACAGTGTGGAGGGGTGGGAATAGAATGACTTTTTGAGGCAGCCAGACCTGGGTTTAGGTGACATATCTGCTACTTATTAAATACTTGAGTAAGTTACTTAGCCTGTTTGAATCTCAGAATCTTCACTTAAAAAAAATTGGCATCATAATACCAGTTTTAAAGTATTATTATATTAGAAGTGATACATCTTACACTTAGCAGGTGGCATCAATAATTAAAGTAATTCATGTGGATCAGCTTATTTTTCAGGTGGCATATTTTTCTGGATGTGTGTTGTAGTTCTCACAATTCAGTAACTCCCAGACTGTGAAGAATGAAAGTTGATTGACACTGGGAATCTGAATAATATCACATTTTGCTTTTGGTACTTAGATTGTAAATAATGCATTTTTTCCCTATTACTTCTATATGTGGTTAAATGGCATCTGCATACTTTTACATTGGATGCTGAATAAAATATATCTTCAGTTGGAAGCCGAAGTAAAAATGAAATTATTTCATCCAGTGAAAATTTATCTTTGTTTCATTGGGAGGAGCTCCAGGCACAGCTGAAAATGTGGCGATTGTGGAGATGTCCTGGACCATGAGGTCTGAGCAAGAATTTGCTAAGTGGAAGAGGGGGGAGTTTCAGGCAGAGGGGCATTAGGGAGACACTTTGAACAAACATGCAGTTGTAGGGGTTGAAAGTACTTGATGAATCTGTTATGACACAGCTCAAAATGAGAAGCGAATCAAGGCAAATGACCAGAGATAAGCCCGGAAGGGTGGGCTGAGACCTGAGTGTATGGGATGGAACGTGGCATGCTATGTGGTTTGACCTCTCTGTCCAGACATGGGGAAGTTGGAGATAGGAAGTGACCTGATCACTTCTCTGCATTGAAAAGATCTCTTGGGTGGAAAAATGGACTTGGGTCAGAAGAGGGAGGGGTTTGATCCAGAGAACCTCCAAACTGCCCTTGAGGTAATTATATCAATCTGATTTTATAGGACGGAAAATTAAACTTCAGGGAAATTAAGGTGCTTAACGAATTTTCTCAGCTGACATCATAGCTTGAATCCAGATTTTCTTGACTCCAGAGAGTAATTCTTTCCTGAATGTTGTTGCTGTTGTCACTAGGGCTGTTAGAAAAAGTGGGTAGGCTCAGGTTAGAGTAACTTCCCTCACTCACTTCAAAATCCTCATATTTTAATGCAGATGAAATTTGTTCATTGGGATAGACAGTAAAATTCTAATAAAAAAAGCCACAAATGGCTGGCTTGTGGCCTTGCCCTTTTTTTTAACACCAGTGGCTGAACCATTTTCTTTTTCCCAGTGATCTGCCTCCTTGAGTGACCACCAACCTCCCAGTCCTCTGTGATAAATCAAGGAGGCCAGTGGAAAGCCAGTTTGATGATAGCTAAAGGGAACTTTTATCAACACAACCACAAATATAAGCCGTTTGTAATACTGGTCCAAGCAATTTTGTATACTTTCTCTGTGCAGAGTCTCTACAAGTTTTTTTTTTTTTTTAAATAAAATACATCAACCATTTTTAACACTATAATATACTCCTTGGTGGGTAAGAAACAATGTCAGATAATTTTGTGGAAAGAAGGTATTCAGGCTTAATATGAAAGAAAATACAAAGAGAAAATTATCTTGCTACTTACAAGACATTAATTGATTAGGGTAGTCATAGAAACAGGAAGCATCTCAGAAAATCAATACAAAATTAAGTAAATGTGACTTGTAGACTGTAAGATATCTGCCTAGGAAACCAATTAAAACATGAAATGTTTGAAATTACCTAGAACAGCTTAGACTGTTCGCATTTTC